CCTCACAGTATACAGTTCTTCTATAGAAGGCAGGCGGGTTGCCCTTTGGTAAACTTAAATGAATCTTCGGATAATGTTTATTCTGTCTATTTGGTGGGCTTTGCTGAAGCCCCTGGAGATAATGGAGTTTTCTTAAGGGAGCATTCCCCAACAGAGGGTCCTCCACCTGGACCAGATTCCAGTTCCCAGAATTTCTCTGGGGTCTAAGAGGTTTGGGATAGATAGTCCAACCTATTGGGAGGGCCCCAGTTGGAGAAAGCTGCCTTACTAAACCTTCAGGAACCCTCAGGATCTACTGCAAGCAGTTTCTCACTGAGTGGGAAGAATTTCTTCCTGGGTATTCTGCCTGAAAAGTAAAACAGATAGTGGTCTTTTTAAAAAAGACGATACCGTGAAAAACCTGCAATCAATACTCTATGCAACTGGCTCAGGAAGAGAAAAACGTGCTGCCAGTAGAGGTTGCTGGCACACGAAAGTGCACAAAGGATCGGTACGCCTCTGGAATGTAAACAAATTAAATTAAAATTGGATAAATAAAGTAACAAGGGGTAGGACTTGGCAAAGGGGCCTTCCACACCCTCTGGTCCTACGCACACAGACCTGGAGTATATGCAGCCCCTTCAGACACACCACAGCCAGTTCGCAGAGTCCATCACAGGTCAGGTCGACGTAGTCCATGGACAACAAAGGGCTGGGGAAAGTGCGCTGCCAGAGGAGATGAAAATCCCCTTGAGGCTGCTTGAAACGGTGGCATCTTGCTGTGCTCTTGACACACGTGTTTTCAGCCCGATATTTGTAGCATAAAAGCTCCTAAAAGATCAAGGAGGCTGCTTAATACTGCTGGGGCCATTATCAACAGAAAATGAGGGAAAAAACAGTCAGCATCAATGTAGAGCTCTAGAAATCTTAGTGCTCTTGAAAACCAAGTTTCTATCCCTCATGGTTGTAGAAGGGGAAAAGACACATTTTCAGCTGTTGGCATCTGATCCTTTCAAAGCCAAAGAATCAAGGCAGCCAGTAGACTGGATTCCCTCTACATCATACCAAGTTCTCCTGCCCCACCTCTTCACTGTTTGCAGAATGTTGTATGGAGAGCATTAATCAATATTATGGATGGTTCCATTCCAATCATGGTTAGCATAACCAGAGTCTGTAACTGCCAAATTCTGGTAATCCTGGTTAGCATTAAACGTGGTGATTTCAATGCTTACGCAGCACTGCGCTGCTGCATAGAACAGGAACTAAGCTATACTTTACTGATTAAACTACATCTGACTGAGTTTGCACAATGTGCTAAACCAGAAACCGAGGTTTATGAAGCACAGTAGCTGCTTTCACATAAAGGCAACACCCAGACTGAAAATAAGGCAGCAGCAGAACGCAAAGCAAACATTCACCAAAGCACATGGTGCTTGTGTTCAGACAACATGCTAGTCTGATTTGCTTAACCACATTTTACTGACAAAACCACAATTGACTGAGTTTACACAACCCATTTAACTGCAAACAATGGCTGACAAACCAGTTTGCAAGCAAAGCCATAAACAAACAAATCACATTTCAGCTTAGTGGACTGTGTAAACCCAGCCACTGTTTTTCCCTGCAGCATTTATGTCCTGCTTTTCCCTGGATTCTTGGAATGGCTCTGATTGCCCTGGTCTCAAAGGAGTCACAGAGCTCCATCTGCCTTGCCTCTCCTCTGGAGTCACACAAACCAGTCAAACTTGCATCATACAGAGGGATCAATGGCTGACTCTAGTAGGCTTGTGCATGTGCTCAGAAGAACACACAAAGCACTTGAAACATTGGTTATGCTTTATATTTGGAAAAGAAACAAGATCAGAGCCTCAGCAAGGAAAGAATGTCACATAAGAGCCTACAAAAAAATCTGGGCTAGATGACCTTTTACCATCTCAGTTCATGACAGGCCGCCCGCCCTGCCTTTGGAAGCTGCAGACCAGAATATTTGAAATATTAAAACACTAAATACAATATTTAAACTTAAACACATTTACATTTTTTTTAAAAAAACAGTAATCTATGAAAATACCTTTAATTATAATTTGGCTGGAAAAAACAGACAGCCATACCTTTGAACTAGTAAGGACAGAAATGACAAACCTCAGTCCTCTTACCTGCCCATAGGTGCCCAGCAGGATCTCAGGCTCGCTATCAAAGTCAATATCTGTCACAAGGGCACAGAGCACACTGTCGTACTGGTCACTCAGCGGCAAGACCAGCTGGTCCTCCAGGCCATGCTGCAGCACGTTCCTAGAAGGACAGGAAAAAGGCCCTCTCAAGCAAGCAGAAGGGAGGCGGACAACAGATCTCCTGCTCCACCTTTTCTACTCACCGGTAGACCACCGACAGTTCGATAGTGCTGGTTACGAGGACGCTGTAGCTCTGAGGGTTGGGATCAGTGCTACCTGGGTGAGATGCAAAGGACCACAAAGCAGAGAGGTTGGGTTGGAAGAAAGAGCTAAGGATTTGTACAGCTTGTATGGGCTGTTGATCCCCCAGGGAAAGACTCTCATTCCCAATCCCTATTTCCACTGGGGGAAGCATGCATTCCCTTCAGATCTCACCTTTTGAAGACACAATCCCAGGTGTATCATCTGGATGGCTGACGTTTGGGAGAGCAAAAACTAGGACCTTGGAGATGGGGCCATCTTGTTGGATGCTCCAGCTCTGTAGCACGACTTGAGTCCAGAAGAAGAGAAGGGACACCAATCAATTCATCCATCCATCCATCCATCCATCCATCCATCCATCCATCCATCCATCCATTCCTCACTTACTAGGCTATGGTCCAAACCTTGTGGAAGACCCAGAGCTAAGCCACTGGGGGGAAAAAAATCTTACCTCGCTTGGCTGGTTCAACCTGAGCAACCTGGATATATCCACTCTGGCAGCCAAAAGCTGTAATTCGCTGCCCCGAATTCGGAATGTTGTACACATCGAGCCAGAGCACGCTGCAAAGCAGGAGGCATCATGAGAGAAGGGCATGGGTTTGGGAGGGAGGGAGGGGGATATAGGTATGTCTTTGAGGTAGAGGCCAGGACTTCCAGCTTCTATAAGCCCCTACCACACACAGGAGCTTGGGTTCACACAACACACTAACTTATCGTTTAATTAACAAACCATAATTTGTGGATTCACACAAGAGACAAAACCAAATCAAATAAGCCACATTAGGGCTTACCACATCATTGAACCAGGTCACTACCTGTCCTCTGTATTCAAATGCTCATTCTCCCCCCACCTCATGCCTTAATAACAAATTAGGTTGCCTACTTGCTTGGCAGTTCCTTAAGCTCTGGAAAAAGATTCTCTACTGGCTGCTCCTCAAATTGATGCAGCTCTTCGTTCTGCAAAGAAAACAGGTAGTCACAACATGGCCTTCCCATTCTTTGGCAGAAATTTTCAACTATTATGACTCAAGCTTCTCACTCAGCTCAAACCAGAAAAGTGTAAAAATGGTTCTTTTTTACTTCAAGAAGAGGGGCTTTATCTGCCTACATAGCCATTTGCCCAGGGGAAAAATGGAGAATAATTGACATATGATGGAACAAAAGGGGAGGGGGCCCTCGAAGTAGAATGTTGGGGATTTTTTAAAGAACACAAAGGAACCAAAGGAGAGTTCCAAAGGCATAGAGGAGGCAGACTAGAATGCCATCTGGAGGTCCTCACCTCTTTGTAAAGATGAATAGCGGGATCATTTCCACTCAGAAGGAAGACGGTCTCTGGCCGATCAGCGACCTGGACTCTACAACATGAAAAGCAGCATCAAATATGTTAGTTCTGGAATCACACAACCATACCCCACAAGGAGAATATACATGCTCAAATAAAAAAAAAAAAACCAGAAGATTCA